GTCCTCGCAGGATCCATTAGTAGATCAGAAATATTGCTTTAAGATTGTTGGAAATTGAGGTTAAATCTAAAATTGAACAGTGAAGGATGATATGCTGTTATTTTAAAAATTTTAATTAACTGCTGTGCGTTTGTGAAACGCTATGCTTAAAGCAATATTTGGCCTACTCCGGTGCAAGATCCCAAGGCTAAACTGCTTCCAGGAACAGCAGTACAGTACTCTAGTGTGCACCAACCCAGTACTGTCAAGATCTCCTTGATCTGTAAGACCTTTCGGTCAAGGCAAAAGATCTCTTCGATCTTAGAACCTTTCGGTTCAAAACCTTTCGGTTTCAGGGTTCCTGCGGGCACAGTTCTGCAGCAGCAGCACAACAACAACGTCAATTTGACGTTCGTATTCCAAGCTCGCGTGGGTATACCAACGTTCGTATTCCACACACATGAGAGAGTTTTCGACTTCAACCAAGAGCTGCCCAAGAGAACTATTTATAGGTCTCTAAGGCCAGCTCAAGAGTCATTAGCAATTAATGTTACTGTTACAATTCTTAATGACAATTAAGATTGTAATATCAATGCATTAAATTATCCTTAATGCTGTTGTAACTGCTACATACGGTAACTGCTGAATACGAGGCAATCAATGGACGCATTGCTACGAAACGCGAGGGTACGTCTCAGCAAATCAGATGAACCTCGTTTGACAAACGAACATCTTCAAACAGGCGAACCTCGTATGACAGACGAACCTCATCGAACGAGCGAACATAGTCAAACAGGTGAACCTCGTCGATCGAGCGAACCTCGTCAAATAGGCGAACCTCGTATGACAGACGAACCTCGTCAACAAGCGCCTAACAAAGTGCCACTTAGCGCCTCAGCCCGATTAGCCCTGATTCCTGGCCCATTGGCCCACAGCCCACGGCCCACGACCCATGACCCATGAGAACTTATGAGAGATTAATTCAAATAAAACACTTCTCGGCTTGCCGTTGGCAAGTCTCGAACAAGGAACATTTTGAAATACCAAAACATAAACTTTCCACTAGGCTACTAACCATTTATGAAAAATACTTATAGTTAATATATATATAGTTTGAAAACTCATTTTGGAAAGCAGTTTTGACAAAAAAAAAAAAAAATCTAACACTTACTTATATATCATCAAAGTGGATCAACGTCCTAGAAAAAGAATGCTAAAGTACATCGCTTTCAATTGTTAATATAGTCTGATTAAAAAACAGTATTAATATTAGTTAAAGTAATGTATGTGTATACGTATTTATTTATATGAATCCAAAACTTAGAAGTGATTAAACTTTTAGGAAAGCCTTATCTTTAGATGATCACAAGTTTCAACATTAATTTTATTTTTCTTAAGAAGTCTTAAAGATTGCGTCATGGAGTTAGACCGGACCAAGCTTTGTAGGAGAAAGTTGACGAGAGTCAGACACACAACACATATAATATATATATATATATATTATATATATATAAATATATATATATATATATATATATATTATATGAGAAAAATAAGTATGCCTTGGTACCAAACATAAAAAATTATGCTTGCGTAGTGATGCTTTTTTTTTTTTTTTTTTTTTTTTTTTTTTTTTTTTTTCAAATTTTTTTTTTTTTTTTTTTTTTTTTTTTTTTTTTTTTTTTTTTTTTTTTTTTTTTTTTTTTTTTTTTTTTTTTTTTATTTCTTTTTTTTTTTTTTTTTTTTTTTTTTTTTTTACAAATTTTTTTTTTTTTTTTTTTTTTTTTATTTTTTTTTTTTTTTTTTTTTTTTTTTTTTTTTTTTTTTATAAAATTTTTTTTTTTTTTTTTTTTTTTTTTTTTTTTTTTTTTTTTTCTGACATAATCCCCTCCACTCATTCAAATGATTGCATATCTCCCCATGCACTTCCAACCATGTGAATGGTTCCCCATTTGGAATGAGTGGCAGGGGGAATTGTGCCATTACTAACGAAGCGTAAATTTTTGCTTGGTACCAGCATACCCTATTCTCATATATATATATATATATATTAATGAGTATCATTGTCACAGGAGGGAAATCTCCTCCTGACAATAATGTGGGCAACAATTTCCACCACTGTGAAATTTCTCTCTACTATTATTCACGATGGTGGGTATGTGCGCCTCATGTTAAGGAGGGATCCCCTCTTGACATAGGAACCTATTAATCTATATATATATATATATTATATATATATATATATATATATATATATATATATATATATATATATAGAGAGAGAGAGAGAGAGAGAGAGTGAGCCTGCCATTCGTAGAATTTCCCGTGCTGCTGCCACGTCAAGTTCTTATTCGATTGTCAAATTTTAAATGACACAAGGACTTAGATGCAAAAAAAATCAAATCTCAAAAAATCCCACATCTGACACTTCCTTCCAAATTTGAAGAAATTTTCAATCATATCAATTATTCTAAGTTATTGATTGTTACTGAACATTTGCATTGTTTATATATACAGGCCCCGAGCATTACTATCATACTTGTGCACAATCGAGCTGGGAGTTGACCGATCCACATGTTCAGTTTATGTCCATCAAGCAAGCTTCTTTGAGTGCTCACAAATTAAATGAGTGAGACTTGATTGGGCTCTCTTGATGGCACTGATTGAACGATGGAGGTCCGAGACAAATACATTCCACCTGCGCCAAGGAGAGTCGATGATTACATTGCATGATGTTGGGATTTTGCTTGGACTCAGAGTGGATGGAGATACTATCACGGGTAGCGACGACTTTAACTGGGTAGGAAAGTGTGAAACATTGCTGGGTTAAATTCCTCACATGAAGGGTGATAAGATCAAGCTTGAATGGTTGAGAAACAATTACATGAATGTATCGATCGATGCGACCGAGGAGATCATCAAGATGTATGCCTGTGTATACATACTTCATATGATCGGTACTATTCTTTTTTCGGATTCCACGAAGGATTCGGTGCACGTGAGGTGGTTGCCACTCCTAGAGGATCTTGAGGGTTGTAGAGGATTATCATGGGGGAGTGCCATGTTAGCGTATTTGTATAGAGAGATGACCAAAGTGGCACTTGTTCAAAACAAAGAATTCAAGAGTTGTGTCACTCTGCAACATATATGGTCTTACGAGAGATTGCATTTGGGTTTCCCAGATTTGAGGGAGACCCGTGCTCTCGATAGCCATATTCCGTTAGGCTATAGGTATTACTAAGTTATTTTGTAATATATATGATTACATGTAATTTTATACATTTATTTCAATCTATATTAACCCATTGTATATAAAATAGATGGAATGTGTCCAGATCTTGACATACCTCACCAAGGGCCTTGAAAACTTCTACAGGAATGAGCTTGATCAAATGGAGGATGAACATGTATTAAATCATAATATCTAAATATATTCAATCATTACATCATTTATTACTGATATCTGCTTTACGTAAGTGGATGTCATATGAACTGTTTTGGAGTCACTACCAGATATTTGCAGGGAAGGTGAGATGTATGGCGTGCTCGCGTCCTGATCATATGTTTTGAGATTGTCGAGATGCACGTACTCGACTGTGTGCTCTAACAATTTGGGTTACAACAACATGTTCCGAATCCTGTGGAGAGAATAGAGCAAAATCCCAGAAAAGGTGCACATTATGCAAATTCGCCATGCTTACATCAAGAGGTGGGAGTTGAGGGAGGAACAAGTAGTGATGGAGAGGGCTGACGCACCTGACCTAGGTGTGTATTTGCGGTGGTATTGAGAGATTACTCGCCAGTGGATATTTTAGGAGAACAAAGCTCCTAAGGAGTACATACCAAGAGGGCCAGTTGAGAGAGAGAGAGAGTTGGTAAGTGTATAAGCATAATATACAAATATTTTATGAGTTTTATATTATTATCATCCACTTGATAATAATTTTCTTTTGGTTTTTATCTTATAGGTACAAGAGCTCAAAAAGCTTTCTACTATGGCGTATGATGCATTGCGAATGACTATCGAGCCAGAGCCGAGGAACACGTTCCTTCGCATGATAAAAAAGATTTGGTCCGCTCTTTAGAGGACACGTAATGCAAGATGTGATGGACATGAGGAGTGACTAATTGAATATGGGCGTCGATGGTTCTGAGGACATGCGGGGGCAGACTCAAGTCGTGCACATGATGAAGCTGGCGGCTCACAACAGGCTCAAGCCAGAAGTTCACAGCCGGTTCAAGTCGACGATGATGTCATGCGCTCCCAACTTCACACACAACCAGACGAGGATCTCATCTGAGCTCACATCGAAGGTGAACGAGGAAGGGGGAGAGGAAGAAGAGGGAGAGGGAGAGGGAGAGGAAAGGGAGTTGTAAATATTTGTTAAGTTTCGATATACTTGATAGGATGTTTGCGTTTGAACTTGAATATTATGTATCCGATTGAGTATTGATTATTAGTATGCGATTGAATATGGATTTTTAGTAAGTGAAATAAATGTTTGCGATTATGGATTGGTATGTGTGTTATTTGTGATTGTGATTGCATTGTGAATTGATAAATATGTAACATTAGTTGGTGAATTGATATGTTTTAACATGAGTTTAATTTTCTAGCTGAAAGTGGGAAGGAAGAGCTTTATAAAATAGTCGGGGTTAGGAACCCCGACCATTTTGTGCACGTACACAAAATGGTCAGGGTTCCCAACCCCGACCATTTTGCCTTAGCCAACTCTCGCCTCTTTTGAAGCAAAAGTCTCTGCTAAATGGTCGGGGTTGGGAACCCCGACCATTTTAAAATAGAGCTTTAAAATTGGTCAGAGTTTCCAACCCCGACCAATTAGACAGTGTGCTAAATTAGTCGAGATTGACAACACTGACAAATTTAGGCTATATATTACCCACGACCTTCTAAATAGCTAGGTTGGCAACCCCGACTATTTAGGAACCGAATTAAAAAAATCATCCTACTTCGTGGCCACGAAGTGAGTCAATTTTAGTAAATAAAACGAGAGGTGATCAGTTTTTTTAAAAAAAGTCGGAGTGTGTTTAATTCGAAAATTTCTTCTTCCAAATTAACTTCCCCAAAAAACCGTCGCTTTCTTTTCCCCTTCGTCGGTCGCTGCTTTCTTTTCCCCTTCACCGATCTCTGTTGCTTTCTTTTCCCCTTCCCCAAAAACCCGCTTCTCTTTTTCCTGCGTCCGATCTCCGTAGAAGCCGCTGATTTCGTTTCCCCCTTCACCAATCTTCAGGAAGGATCATCTAGTCGGCATCCTCAAGCGAATAACGGACGCATCCCCTTCGCCGATCTTTAGGAAGCCCAATTTTCAAGCCAAGGAGGAATGATCATCTAGTCGGCATACTCAGGTACTTTATCAATCTTTGAATATTTTTTCTTTTTATTTTTTTTAAAGGAATCAACTTAATTTTTATTTGCTAAAAGTTTGATATAGTTTAGAATTATTAGAATTTTTAATTCGATTGTTAATTTTTTATTTTTTTATTTTTATACAGGAAGAATTTAAAGTTCATCATCCGACTCCTAGCAGTAAGTCATTTTGGATTTGTATTGAAAATAGCAAAATTTTTAGAAGATTGAACGACTCTCCAGCTAGATGATCCGAGTCTTTCAGAAGATTAAGAACAACAGGAAGATGACAGAGGAATCCATGTTTTTATATTATTGGGGACGTAAAATTATTTTTAAGGCAGATGCTGCTAGGAGTTTTGCTTAATTAGCAGAAATTGGCTGTACAAAATTTCTGAAGTATTGGTTTTTTTATTTATTCTCTTGGGATAAACAAACAGGGACAGAGTATTTGTATATTTGTATCCAATTTAAAAGTTTATCCCCTCATGGAGTTCTCTTGGGACAAAACAAGTATGCATCTTACGTGATTTTCTCATATATTAATTGGATGCATGAATAAAGAGGCATCATCTTGTTTTGCATTGTAATTTGTTGTCAGCCGAATATGTATTTTCACCGTGTCTCTTACATTGGATGCTAAGATAAACATTGGTTACAAAGTAAGCGGTCCAATACATGTGTTGCTTGTGTTGCGCGTCTTTGCGGAAGCATGCTCGCACACCGAACGAGTCCGTAAGCCACGGGAGACGATTAACAAACTAAACACGAGCACAATCCAAACAAATACGATAAATCAATCTTAAACACAGAGATATACGTGGTTCGACAATTTGTCTGCGTCCACGCGGAGGGGATAGGGAGATTTCACTATATCGAGGAGAGTACAAAAGGGTTACAATCATTCAAACACTCGAACAAACCCTAACCAATGATCTCTCAATCCAGGCCCAAACCTAACAGGCGGTCAACCGTACTTGACGCCGCGGTCAATCGGACAGAACGTCCAAAACTCAGGAAACCAATTATAAGGTCTACGATCGACCGCACTTGATGTTGCGGTCGACCGGACAAAGATCCTGAAACTACCATGTACTCGTGCACGTTTCTGGTCGACCTCACCCTTGGTCGCGGTCAACCGGACAGAACCAAACTGAATGTTGCTGTTTTCTCTTCAATTCTCTATCTCGGTGAAGTTTTCCCAAAACCGATCCGACACCAATACCAACCAAACATCCCACTTGTTGCACCCGGTACAAAGTGGAATAAATCTACGACAACGAACTCAATCCACAACAAGTCGAGAACCCAAATGAGAATGCGAACAAATTCTAAAAAATATCGGTATCAACTCATCAAACCGGCAACATCAAAATGACTGCCTACGTATCCCCTCTCCCAAGGGATCCAGCTGTCCGTAGTTCATCCAAATGACCGTCAACAGCCTCAACAATCACAAATATGCACTAAGTTTCGATAATGATCAAACTTGTTGCTCGAAACCACATTTGTGAACATATCCGCCGGATTATCCTTCGTGTGGACCTTCACAATTTTCATATCGCCATCTTTAAGAACATCTCGAACGAAGTGATAATGAACATCAATGTACTTCGTCCTAGCATAAAAAACCTGATTCTTCGCCAAATAGATTGTACTCATACTATCACAATAAAGAGTGATGGACCGCTATGATATACCAAGTTCCTCCAAAAGTTCCTAAAGCCAAATAGCCTCATTGACAGCCTTCGTAATCGCCATATACTCTGCCTCCATCGTCGACAAAGCCACCATAGACTGTAAGGTGTATCTCTAATACACCGGCGTACGGGTCAAAGTAAACACATATCCCGTCGTAGACCGACACTTATCCAAATCACCACCATAATCTGAATCAACATAGTTAATGCACAACTGCCCGCTCAAAAAATAAACCAATATTGAGAGTACCTTGAATGTACCTCGAAATCTATCTCACGGTGTCTCAATGACTCACTCTTGGATCGTGCATGTATCTCAAAACAATGCTCACCGTCTGTGACAAATCCGACCTCATACATACCATCACGTACATCAAGCTACCAATTGCCCTCGCATATGGAGTCTTCGACATCAACTCTCTATTTTCAACTGTCTTAAGTGAAAGGTTACCTGAAAGTTTCAAATGAGCTCCCAAAGGTACACTAACTGGCTTCGTATCCATGCTAACATTAAACCATTGTAGAACCTTCTTCAAATAAGCCACATGTGTTAAACAAATTCTACCCTTCTCTTTGTCTATGCCAATTCCATCCCCAAAATGCGTTTTGCCTCACCCAAATCCTTCATCTCAAACTCCTTTGAAAGTTGTTCCTTCAACTCATCTATAGCAGATTTGAAAATAAAAGCAACCAACATGTTATCGATATAAAGTAATAAATAAATGTACACACCTCCTTTTAACTTGTGATAATACACGTAAGGATCAAACTAGCTCCGAGTGTACGAATGACCGATCATGAAACAATCAAATCGCCTATACTACTATCGAAGAGATTACTTCAAACTGTATAGCAATTTCTTCAACCTACAAACCAACTTTTCCTTCCCCGCAGCTTAGAATCCCAATGGCTGAGTCATATATATATTTTCATTAAGATTACCATGAAGAAATGCTATCTTCAACTAATCTAACTCCAAACCATATTGTGCCACTAAATCTAGCAAAATCCGAATCGAAGAGTGCTTCACCATAGAAGAGAAAACCTTATTATAATCAATACCTTCCTCCTGTACATAGACCTTTACAACCAACCTAGCTTTGGATTTCACTGGAGTGCCTATAATGCCCTCCTTCTTCATGTATACCCACTGGAAACCAATCGGTTTCCGCCCCTTTGGAAGCTCAACAAGCTCACATGTATCGTTCTTATGAAGAGATTCTATCTCCTCCTGCATAGCTACCTGCCATGAATCAGCCTCTGAACTCTACTCAGCCTCTCTGAATGTAGTAGGTACCATTTCATTGATACTCTCCACCGAAAATGCATACACAACTACTGTGTTTGTATACCGTATTAGCATCCGTATGTCTCTCCTCTGTCTCCAAACTGCAAGAGAATCCTGAACCTAAACCGTCGGTCCCTGATCCTGCTCATCTGTACCCGTATCCTCCAAATCATCATCGTGCTCGCCTAGCGTCACCTCAATCGACACTCTAATGGACACGGTACCACCTGGACACTATGAAGCTGCATCAATCTCCACCACCTACGATATCTCCTCTGTTGGGGTGCTCTCCACCTGGTGAGAGCTGAGAAACTTCAAGATAGAAACCTCATCAAAAGTGACGTCTCTACTCAGCACGATCTTTTTATCCACTAGATCTCATAGCTTGTATCTCTTGACGTCACGCTTGAATCCTACAAATATGACATTCCTAGCTCGATATTCCAATTTATCTATTCTCACATGATAAAATGCAGGGCACCCAAATACCTTGAGCTGGTCATAGTCATGTGCTGGCTCTCCCGTCCACATGTCCATAGGGGTCTTCCCCTCAATCGCAGATGAAGGCAGCCTGTTAATGAGGTGGCTCACATATGATAGTGTCTCAGCCTAAAAGATCTTCTCCAAACCACTCTGCGACAATAAGCATTAATCTTTCTTCCAGTCTGCAGTTCCAATCTTCTCTTCCCCTCCACAAATAACTCTAAAACTTCATTCTTATGCTTCATAGTGTACACCCAATAACGCCTAGAATAGTCATCAACAAACGTGATGAACCAATGTCGATCACTAAGTGATGCAGTCTTGGTGTGACCCTAAACATCTGTGTGCATGTAATCTAAGATTCCCCTCGTCCTATAGATGGCTATCCCGAACTTCACATTTGTCTTATTGCTAAGAAGATAATGCTCACAGAACTCAATCTTTTCACTCTTGGCTCCCTTCAATAGCCCCTGCTTGCACTAAGCCTGGAGTGATTTTTCTCCTTTGTGCCCTAACCTGTAGTGCCAAAGTCTACTTATGTCTGTATCTGAAATAGCTAAAGCTACCTGGCTAACCTCGGTGCTCCCCTTCAGATAATACAAGTTTCGACCACGGACTCCCTTCAACACCACCAAATATCCCTTAGTAAACTTTGCTACAATGTCTTCAAAGGTCACCTTGAATCCATTTGCCTCCAAATCTCTAACAGAAATAAGATTCTTTTTCAGCTGAGGAATAAATCTTACCTCTTTCAATTCACAGACTACTCTATCGTCCATCTGAATTCTCATGATACCTATTCTACAAATACTACAGGATTAATCATTTCCTATGATAACAACACCCCCATCAAGTCTGTCAAATGATACAAACCAATCTCGCCTAGGAGTCACATGATAAGTAGCGGCAGAATTAAGTATCCAATCTGATACATCCACATGGTTCACCTCTGAAGTAATCAATAGAGAAAAGCTCGAATCATCAGAATCATCACCTTTCACAATATTCACCTCATTGGCCTTCGGGCCATTCTTCTTGCTATTCTCCTTCTCCTTAAGCTTCGGGCAGTCTCTCTTCCAATGTCCCTGTTCCTTGCAGAACACACACTGATTCTTAGCTAACTAGTGATGGCCTATAGACTTCGACCTGCTCCTATTACCACCTTTCGGATATGGGCTTCTACCTCTCATCGACAAGGCCTCTCCTGAAGTACTAGCGCGGAAAGTCTCTTTGTCCTTCCTCCTCAAATCATACTTCGTCAAAATATTAGTAACTTCACTATATGTGATAGAAGATCTCTTGTTCAATAAGGTAAGCATGAAGGTATCATACTCCTCATCCGGTAAGGAGCCCAAAAGAATAATAGCCTTGTACTCATCCGTGATCTTCTCATCCACGTTCGCCAAGTCCGACAACAACTTCGTATAGTTGTTCACATGAACTACAAGCGAGGTGCCCCATGGATATCTGAAATCTAAACAATCTTCGCAACAAGTGCAAACGGTTCTCAACACTCTTCATAAGGTACTTATTGTTAAGAATCTCTCACATCTTCATTGCAGACGTCACCCCAATCACATCATACTTTAGCTCCTATTCTAAACAGGACCTGATCGCCCCACAAGCGTTCCTATTTATCTTTTCCCATACCGCCTCTACATATTTTGGTGACCTCTCATGGACCATGATGGTCTCCTCCAAATTCTGAGCATTGAGAGCATCATGTACGTCGCTCATCCACAAATTAAAATTGATCTTGCCATCATATTTAACCGCACTAATATTGGTGTTCTGAAAACCATGCTAATATTTAACCACGAGAGAAGATTAACAAACCAAACACGAGCATAATCTGTCACGCCCCGCTTCTTAAAATATCGGGAATCAGAACGTGAACAAGCCTGCGACGTATTAGATTGAGGAAAATAAATAAAAATAAATATTTTTTCTCAACCTAATATGCTAAGCACCAAGCAATATACAATGCGAAATCACAGGTCCCGATCACAGATAGTGAGAATATATTAAATAACTTAGAATGGAAAAGAGACATATCTCAAATAGAATATCATTCGAGATACAGAGTTTGGGTCAAACATGCCCTTATTACAAAATAGAA